TTTCTTTTCTTTTCTTTTCTTTTCTTTTCTTTTCTTTTCTTTTCTTTCTTTCTTTCTTTCTTTCTTTCTTTCTTTCTTTCTTTCTTTCTTTCTTTCTTTCTTTCTTTCTTTCTTTCTTTCTTTCTTTCATTCTTTCTTTTTTTGAGACAATCAGGGTTCAATGACTTGCCCAGGGTCACACAGCCAGTAAGAGTTTGAGGTCACATTAGAATTAAGGTTTTCCTGACTCCTCTATCTACTGCGCCACCTAGCTGTCACAGACTAGATGCTCTTTAAGATTCCTTCCAACTCTAAAATCCTGTGATTTTAGACCTTTTCGTATGAAAAGGTGTCTGTTCAAGTATATTTGAATCAGTGATAAAGTTGGTCTGGAGTTTTTGAAAGGCTCTCTTGAAACCATTGCAAGCATTCTTGTGGTGTTTTCAAATACTTCCATACTTCAGTGTTTCAGGTCTCTATAATTGCATTGATGGGTGTGGTCCCTCATCTCATACAGATCTAATAATAATAATTTTATTATTTTTTGACTGAACTTGCCAAGGGTGTATGTGTGGGACTTGAATGTTTTTTACTTTGATACCAAGTGTATATTTACAATGTGAAACAACCTCTCAGTATTAACAACAACAATAATGACAAACGCATTAAATAGCACTTCAATGATTGCACAACTCTTTATCTGTATTGTCTCATTTGATTTAGTAGATATTCATAAAGTCAAGTCAATAAGCATTTATTAAGCACCTACTACATGCTAGACACTCTACTAAGCACTGGGAATAAAAAGAAAAGTAAAAATAGTTCCTGCCCTGTAGGAGCTTATAATTTAATGGGGAACACAACATGCAAACAATTATATACAGAAGATATATAAAGGATAAATTGGAAATAAACTTAGTGGAACAGCTCTAGCATTAAGGGAGACCAGGAAAGTCTTCTTCCAGAAAGTAAGATTTTCACTGGGACTTGAAGGAAGCCAGAGAAACCAGAAAGAAGAGATTAGGAGTGGGAGAATTTCAGACATGAGGAACTGCCAGAGAAGATATGCAGAGTTGGAAAATGGTATGTCTTGTGTGATGAAAAACAAGGAGGCCAGCATCAATGGATCATGGAGTATGTGGAGGAGAGTAAGGTATAAGAATACTGGAAAGGTAGAAGGGGATCATGCTATGAAGGACTTTAAAAGGAAATATTTATGAATATAAATACTGAACAAGTTGTGGTGTATAGTGTAATGGAATACTGCTGTGCTATAAGAAATGATGAGCTCAATGAACTTAGAAAAACATGGATAGACTTGCACAAAATAATGAAGAGTGAAATGAGAAGAACCAAGAGAATATTGTATAGAGTAACAACAATATCGTTTTATTTTTTTTGGAGATGGAGTATCTTTTTCTTTTTAAAATTTTTATTTTTTGTTTTCAACTTTTACTTCCACAAGATTTTGAGTTCCAAATTTTCACCCCATCTCATGCCTCCCCCCACCCCAAGATGGCATGTATTCTGAATACCCCTTCCCCTAGTCTGCTTTCCCTGCTATCTCTCCCCACCTTCTCCTTCTATTTTCCTGTAGGGCAGGATAGATTTCTGTACCCCATTTCCTGTATTTCTCATTTCCCAGTTGCATGTGAAAACATTTTTTTAAACATGTGTTTTTAAAATTTTGGGTTCCAAATTTTCTCCCTTCCTCCCTCCCCACCCACCCTCATTGAAAAGGAAAGCAACTCAATATAGGCTAAACATGTGCAGTTATGCAAAACACTTCCATAGTAGACATGCTGTGAAAAACTAACTCTATTTCTCTTAATCCTATCCCGCCCCCCCCCATTTATTCTATTCTTTCTTTTGACCCTGTCCCTCCTCAGAAGTATTTGCTTCTGATTACCCCCTTTCCCAACAATATTGTTTTAAGAACAACTTTGAGTGACTAAATCATTTTAATTATTATAAATACCCAAATTAACTACAAAGGACATATGAAAGAAGACACTATCTGCATCTAGAGAAAAAATTGATAGAGTATGTATAGAATGGTTTTACACATGTGTGTATTTGTGTCTTATGGTAGTCATCTCTAGGGTGGTAGGGGAGGAGGAGACAGAAGAAAAAAATACAAAAAAAGTTATATGATAACTTTATTATATGTTAAGCATAATTGTTAAGTAAGTTGTACATAATAGATTTGCAGTTTCATGTACAATCATCTTTTTTTCTATCCTATTATGTTATGGAAATGCTTGTTTTATTAAGTTCAGAATAAATAATTTTTTAAAAGGGAAATAGAAGGATTTATATTTGATTCTGGAATTAAGAAGGAGCTACTGGATTTAAGTGAACAAGGAAATGATATGGTCAGACCTGTACTTTAGGAAGGTCACTTTAGTAGCTGAATGGAGAATGTACTGGAGTGGGGAGAGACTTAAAGAAGAGAGACCAACTAGAAGGCTATTATAATAATCCAGGCATGAAGTAATAAGAGCTTGCATCAGGGTGGTAGCAGTGTCAGAGGAGAGAAGGGGGCATCTATGAGAGATGTTACAAAGGTAGAATCCACAGGATTTAGCAATGAGTTGGATAAGGAGGATGAGAGAGATTGAGGAGTCAAGGATGATACCTAATCTGAGATGACAGAGAGAATGATAGTGTTCTCAACAGTAAGAGAGAAGTTAGGAAGAAAGGAGGTAAAGAGTTCAATATTGTACATGTTGAGTTTATTATGTCTACAGAACATCCAGTTCAAGATGTCCAACAGGAAGTTGGAAATGCAAGACTAGTGGTCAGAAGAGAGATAAGGGTTAGATAAATAGATCTAAGTATTATCTACATGGAGGTGATAATTGAGAACAAGGGTGCTGATAAAATTACCAAGCAAAATAGTATGGAGGGGGATGAAAAGAGAGCCCAGTACAGAGCCGTGGGGGTTACCCATTCCTCACAAGGGTAACCTGGATGAAGAAAGGTGACTGAGAAGAAAGTGGTCAAATAGGTAGGAGAACCAGGAGAGCAGTATCATGAAAACTTAGAGGGAAGTGAATATCAAGGTGTAGAAAATAGTACTGTATCGAAGGCTGCAGAAAGGTCAAGAAGGATGAGGATTGAGAAAAAGCCACTATATTTGGCAATTTAGAGATCACTGGTATCTCTGTAGAGAACAGTTTCATTTGCATGATGAATTCAGAAGCCAGAATACAGAGATTTAAGAGAGTGAGAGTAAAGGAAGTGGAGGCACAAATTATAAATGACTTTCTAAAAGAGTTCAGTCACAAAAGATATACAATGGTAGGATACAATTGATCATGTGAGCATTTTTGGAACATGGGGAGACATGAGCACATTTAGGTAGCAAGGAAGCAGCTAATAGAAAGGGAAAGATTGAAGATTAGTGAGAGTAGGAACAATCTCCTGGATGTAGAGTGGTTATCCTTGGCCAAGGAGGGCCACCTCTTTATGTGAGACAGTGAAGAAAGAAGAGTTAGTGGCAGAAGACATTTGGATAATATGAGATTAGGAGGAGGGGAAAAGAGGAAGCTCTCAGTGAATGTCCTCAATTTTTTAAGGGAACTTTGATATAAATACTAAGATATAAATAAGATGTAAATACTGAGACAGTTGGGAGAGGAGGGCAATGAGAGGCTTGAGGAACAAAGAAAAAGTGTGGAAAAGCCACTGTGGTGAATGAGTTAGTGAGTCATTTAGGGAGGTGTAGAAGTGCTGCCTTGCTGCAATGAGGGACCAATTGACATTATGTTAAAAAAAAAATTGTAACAGACCCAGTCAGCATAGTTTAATGATTTTTCTCCAGCTATGTTTGGCAACATGAATGGGAGCAAAAGCAGCCGAGGGTGGGAGTAATCTAAGCTTTGGGCTTGTCGGGGCAATATTGGTGATAGGACAAAGAAGTAAAAACTCAGGAGAAAAGGGTTGTGTGTAGAATTGAACTGGTTCACCAAGTGGTCAGGATGGTGAAGGGCAGAGAGTACAGGATGATGAAATGAGAAAGAACTAGGAGGTGGAGGGATTGGAGGTCATGGTATGAGCAAAGAATAGGGTTAAGAATCATAAGGCAGAGGGAAAGATGGAGTGACTTCAAGAATTTTAGAGTTCACGAACATGTAAGGTGAGGACTTGTAGGGGACAGTGAAAGGCTTGCTAAAAATATTGTCATTGTGTGGTCAAGTTCTCGATGAAATTTTCTGAAATCAGTTATGTTGGCTTTCAGATAAAAGAGATACAATTTATAATGCCTGTAACATATATGATACAATATATACAATATAAAAAATACAATATATGTTGTATTTGAAGTTTGGTCAGACCCATAGACTTTGAGAGTCATTGTCAGCTCTATATTATGATGAAGGTTTAGAGGTTAAAAAATTTGTTTTAATAAATGGATTTCTTTGTCCTGTTATATTTATCATTACTATCTTTCTTCCCCCGCAGTTGCTGACAAGGCTGCCTACCTCCAAAATCTAAATTCTGCTGACCTCCTCAAAGCTCTGTGCTTCCCTAGAGTGAAGGTTGGCAATGAATATGTCACCAAAGGCCAGACTGTGCAGCAGGTGAATGCGGTTAAAGCCACTTAATTCAAATCAACCAAAGGAAACTCAAAGGTTAATTCTTTTCTCTGACTTCAGGAAATATACTATTCTTCTTAAAGGTATACAATGCTGTGGGTGCTCTGGCTAAAGCTGTCTATGACAAGATGTTCCTATGGATGGTCACTCGTATCAACCAGCAACTGGACACCAAGCAGCCCAGACAGTACTTCATTGGCGTCTTGGACATTGCCGGCTTTGAGATCTTTGATGTGAGTTAGTAACAATTTAGAAGTTTATAGGTTCTGGAGATTGTTCTCCATGAGATGACTGTGCCCTAAACTAAACTGGAGTTGAGAGAAGATGAAGAATCCCACTATATAGCGCAAGTATTTGCCATATGTTTTAGTGGCAAATCTAGTTCCAAATCTTGTTTGGGTAGAGGAAAGTTGAGCAATAATTGGCTGAGACAGGATGAAATCTGAGAAGCCATCTGGTTAGGCAGGATGGTGACATATCAAAACCATACAAGTACATTAGTAGAAGAAATAAAAGTAATCTAGAATGACTTCAGAAAAAAAGATTTCAATAGTTCGTTCTTGTGGTGTTTTTTAAGAAAAGTGGCTAGTTTGTTTAAAGATTTCAGGAGTTGAAAGTGTAACCCAGAGGGCAGATGGCATAACTGAGAAAGTTATCTCATTACTGAGAAACATTTCACTGGTAGTGAATGAGAAGCTAAAAGAAAAGTTCCCTGAGTTGTTTGAACAAGTGTTGGTGGAAGTTTCTAAGCAGGGCTGGAAAGTGAGTAACCAATCAATCACCAGAGGAATGTTATGGCATGAGCACTGCTGATTTTGCATAGTCAGAGAGAAATGTGGCAGTGGATTATTTATAAAACTATATTTGAGCATAACTAAAAAAAGGCAATGTGTTATTTTGACTGTTTTCTCCACTGGGATGCAGCTCACCAACTCTAATAAAACTGTGCCATCATGTTTCACTTTAGGGATGTTGACTAAAAAATGAAAGCTATTTAATAATTCAGAAATTATAGTAGCACTTGCCTCACTTATTTATCAGGGAACTTCAGTTATCAAGAAAAGAGAACATAGGAATGAGAGCTGGAAGGGATCTAGTCCAAACTCCTATTCTACTTTACAGATTTAAGAAACTGAGGTTCCCAGAGATTAAGAAAGTTGACAAAGTTATTAAAGAGCAAACTAAGTAGGAATGTCTCAAAGTCCATATCCTAAAGTTCACATGTGGGAGAATCTCTCAGACTTGTATTCACATTCTACTTTTACTTAATTACAATAACTTTGGTTATCGGGTTCCAAACACATAGTGGATTAGAAGAGTAGGTCTATTAGACTCAAGCATGGTGACGAAATAAGACATGGCAGCTGAGAGCCTGAAAGAGAGGAAAAAACTATAAAAAACAGGTGCAAAAACTCAAGAATCACAGTACTCTGTAGATGTTGAGCATAAAGATAAATAGCCTTGCATATTTCAATGGCATTGATGGGCATTGCTGTATAGTTATGGCATCTTAAAACTCATGTTGCACATGACCTTAAATTCAAGTTATATTATATCTTCATAATGATGAATAAATTATCAAGAAGAAATTAGACTATGTTCAGTATGCTCTGTTTAAGTGCTGATACAATTTAGAATGATTTCTATCCCAAATAGTTAAAATATAGTAAGTTTCGATCCTTAGGTTACTTGAAAAATATTCCACTTGGGTGGAAAATATTCTCTAAGGATACCATATAAACAAGATACTTCTGTGCATCTCTTCATTCAGTTCAACAGCCTGGAGCAGCTGTGCATCAACTTCACCAATGAGAAACTGCAGCAGTTCTTCAACCACCACATGTTCGTGCTGGAGCAGGAGGAGTACAAGAAGGAAGGCATCGAGTGGGAGTTCATTGACTTTGGGATGGACCTGGCGGCCTGCATCGAGCTCATTGAGAAGGTGTGTTTGGCCATTGATTAAGGCTTAAGGGCCTTCCATTCAAAATTATTCTGGCCTTTGAAAGGGAAACATAATATTTTGGTATATGTTATGTTTAAAGATTTGCTTTTTCTCTCCTTCACAAGTGAAATATAAATGAAACAGCAAAAAATCTTTCTTCTAGTAATTCCTAGTTTTGAATATCACAAACAAGCTATGTATCTATAGAGACATATAGAAATAAATGTATACATATTTTATATATGTACACACATACCTACATATCATATATATATATATATATATATCTACATGTACATATACATATTTAGACTTGAACTGTGCTTGTGATTGCCATAGTATAGGCAATTCCCACTCCATTTTAGAGAGTTGTCTGCAGTTCTAAGAGGTTAAATGACTTGTCCGGGGTTCCACAGTATTGTGTGTGTAGGAGGTATGACTTGAACCCAGGTCTTTCTGACTGTCAGACCAGATCTCCATCTTTTGCACCACAATGCCTCTCATATTTGACATGGGTTTGAGTCCTGGATCTGCCACTTGGTCTAGATGACCTGGAGAAAGTTGCTTCTCTAAACCTCAGTTTAGCTATTTGTAAACAAATTCATACCTTCTATATATCTATGTATATATGTATGTATATATATATGTATATGCATACATGTATATGAATGTGTATTCTAGAGAAAGCTAGGTGGCACAGTGGATAGAGAAGTGTGCCTGGAATCAGGAAGACCTGAGTTCGAATCCAGCCTTAAACATTTATTAGCTGTGTGAACGTGGGCAAGTCACTTTTAACCACTGTTTGCCTCAGTTCATCTGTGCACCTACTTTCCAGGGTTGTGAGGATCAAATGAGATAATAATTGTAAAGTGCATAGCACAGGGCCTGCACATAGTAAGCCCTATGTAAATGTTAGCATTGATTTTTAGTTATTAGTGTAATCTTCAAATACTTAAATATATGTGTATGTATAGGTAGACAGATGGATAGATAGATAGATAGATAGATAGATAGATAGATAGATAGATAGAT